AAAGTGTATTAGAAATACGACGAAAAAAGTATGTTTACTAAAAATGTTTACCGGAATAAACAGTATTGGTTTTAGTTGCATAGGTAACTCGTTGCATCTTTTCACCCATTACCTGCATACTTGTGCTAAAAAACACACCAAAATCAAGCATTTCTGGCATTTCAGAAACGGATCTCTGCTGTTAATGATGGATTTCTTTTAAACTTGGTACATACATTGGACATTACAGGACCTTGATGCACGTCATTTTGTTTTTCACATCGGACAGGAAATGGTCGACTGGATTTTGTCATTATGATTGTCCAAACTATATTTCTTAAGCTTGAAAACTAATAGGAACTGTACCATGCATGGTTTGTTTAATGTCGAATATATGTGAATATATGTACATACTGGTGTTGGTTGGTTCAGTAAGTTGTTTGAGGGGCGTGTGCAGTATGGAGCTCCATATGTGTATCTCACTGACCAGGCAGAGAATGACACAATGCATGTCTATAACAATCTCTGATGTTAATTTTGTGTGGTTTTTATATTGTAAGTGATTCAAGTGCAATACTTGAAATGTGTATCACATGTGTGTGCAAATCGCTCACCGTAGAGAGAATACATGATGGAGCTTGCATGATGCCACTCTATCAACCAAATATGTATTAGTTTGCCACTGGTTATTTATTTATCAGTAAATATGACAAATGAGGGCAAAACACTATTGCTGCATAAACATAGACCCTGACATCGGGGGGGGGGGGGTAAACACATTGATCCTGACATCTGTGGACCATACACAAAATGATCTTGACATATGGGGGGGGGCATAGAAAATGACCTTGAGAACTGCGTTCTTAAACAGAGTAATCCTGATATCTGGGGGCCTTATGCACACAGTGACCCCGATAATTGGGGGCATGAAAATTAACCATCGGATCTGGTGGGCATAAACAAGGTGACCCTGGCATCTAAGAGAGGGGGCATAAACAAAGTGACTCTGACTTCGGTGAGACATAAACACTGACCCTGACAACTGGGGACAAAAACAAAGTGACCCTCACATTTTAGGCACTTGAATGCTGTGCAGTATTGGGGTATACATATTATGGTTCCAGTATCTTCTGTTTTGAAATTGTAGTGGTCCCTGATATATTTGGGGCATAAATGCAGGGCCTTAACTTCTGAGAGACATACATATAGTGCTCATGACTCATTGACATTGGATGCAACTTTGCTTATATGGAGATAAGAAATTCGCCACTGCTTGGTGACAATTTCTAAAATGCACATTTTTGTTTATCAAACTAGCAAAACAGAATGATTTGTAACCGTTTTGGTTTACATAAATTATTTATCTATTCATTTTTGCGATTTCAAAGAAAATTTCATTTTTGATATCAGGAATGGTAAAATTGAGATTATCTTTCCATATAGTGATAGATTACAAGCAAATCTAATTATGCTTAAAGATTTTCCAATTGTGTTTTTTGTAGATTGACTACTGCTCAGCTTGGTTGATCAAAAGAAATATAGTTCGAGCCTTGGGTCTTGCCTGTTTATTTTGATTTGTTTTGCAGAATGAGGAACAATCCAAATAAATCGCACACCTTTTTCCTTACATTTTCCAATTGTTGAATAAGTAAATGTGTCAGTAGTATTGTTAATCCATTAAATGTGTCTCTGACAATAAAATGTCCCCTCGTCAAAAATGTAATAAGACATCGTTGTGAATGTTAAATAGTTTTTAAGCAGGAAATCATCAAGTCGGCAAATCATGAAGTCTTCTACGCGTGCATCGATATTCATTTCAATGACATGTTCTGCTATTAACCCTACATCGATATTCGTTTCAAATTAATGTAGCGTATAAACCCATTTACTTCATTTACTAATGACGTATATCCGTGTGTTTATGGATGTTTGTTTCTAATCGACGTTTCTCTTTTTTTGGGGAATCATTCAATTCAATTAATTAGAGACATATTTTGCTAAAAATTGTATTGGAATTTTGCTATAAATATACGTGCTGCTTTATTCTGCTTCATCCTTACACCTATGATGTTTCACATCAAAAATATGCTACTATCCGATCTTCGGTCGGGTCATCGACCATCACTTTTTATACTATTTTATATTTTTTTTAATATTAATTAACAACATAGTTGTCTCTTTCTTAGCAGAGTGTCTTGCTTAACTGGGCCACTTTCTCATATTTATGTCATACAGTTTTTGCATTCCGCGAACTTGAGATTAATTATAGCAACTAACACGTGCATCATTGTTTATACAGCACCAAGAAACATCTAGTAGAACGTAGTTGAAAGAATACATGAAACTGAGACTAGTTTCTTTCCCAAACATCTTGTGCAAATTGAATAAGTAACAAACACTCATGGCATGTTTTGCCCATTGCAACTGATCCTTGTCTGTGGTGTTATTCACAATGGCCTCATTAACAGAGGAAACGTAAATCATCATACCAATCCTATTTTAAACTGCTCATATCTTTAACATGTTTTTGCTAAAATATCAACATTCGAAGATTTTCTATTGGTGAGACCAGCTTATATCTATGTGAAGGCTCAGTGACTGGATCAGTCTGTGTTAATAGCTCAATAGCAGGGTTAGATTATGACAATGGTTCAATGGGCGGATCAGACTATGGTAATGGCTCGGTGGCTGGATCAAACTATGGTAATGGCTTGGTGGCTGGGTCAAATTCTGGTAATGGCACATTAGCTTGATCAGTCTGTGGACATGCCTAAGTGACAGACCATACGTGTTGTAATGGCTAAGTGGCTTGACCAGTCTGTGCCAATTACTCAGTGCCTGGATCAGATTGTGGCAAGTGGCTATTCATTCGATGGCTGAATCCGACTGTGGCAATGGCTCAGTGCCTGGATCAGACTGTGGTATTGACTTGATGGCTGAATCGGACAGTGGTAATGGATCAGTGTCTGGATCAGCACAAGCAATTGCGTTGAGTGTTACTATGAGAACAAAAAATGTCTTAGAGCGGTTCCTTTTCTTACATATGCTCAGTGTAAATACTATTTAGGTTTTAAAAGTCCTGTCCTTCCACCTTGTGAACTGAAATGCATGTTATTACCTGTTCCGACCATGACAACACAAATTCTAATAGCATGTGGTCAGATTCAATGCAGTATCTCACTGTAAAATGAATTATATTGTCATAGAATTTCCTGGATACTGGAGGATCAACCTTTACATCTTAAGTTTTGTTTTCAATGTATAAGAGACGTATCTTTCTGTTTAAACCACGTTCATGTCATGCTATTGTATTACCAGGTAGATCACTGGTAGAATTACTCAGAATTTACCAGGGGTAGTTCTAGAATCACCAGCTGTTAGTGTAAAGAATTCAAGACATTGAATATTCAGAATTTAATTACTGTAAAATGTTTGAAAAAAGTACAACGTCATTGTTCTCTATTTCAGCAGGGGATGCTTCTGACAAATGTTCTAAAATTTACACAAAAACAAACAAACAAATGAATGATTTATGAAAAGTAACTGATAACACATTCTACATAATTCATTTACGACAATATACCCCCCCCCCCCTAATAGTTATAACCTGAGCCTGGCGTCTACACGAATACCAATACCAATACCGACAATAGCACGCTCTTTCATAACGCTATCGAGACTTCTCTTCAAGTCCTTAAATAGAGGTTCGTTAAAAAATTGCACAGATCTAGCATACTGGTATATATACTTTTGAATGATTATTACAATTTAGCAGAATGTACACCTGGAAAATCAGACCCATCCTTTGTTTTTAATTTCCTGCACGAAACGAGTCAAACAGATTGAAGTTTAGTTCATCATTAGTCATAATGTGCAATTCTTGTTTGATGACACTCATATTCGCCACCAGACCAGCCCCCACTCGTCTGTTTCTTTCTTTTCTCCAAGCACTGTTCAACTGACCACTTTAATTTTTTCATTGTATTTTTGGAATGCTTTCATAATAAATTTTCCAGAAAGAAAACCCAACAATTTGCCCACTCGGAAGCTTTCATCGCCGCTAATATTTGATGCTGGGGCCTCTTTTTTTGCAACCTCGCGTATTTCAGAATCTTCAGGTGACTGCAAAGTATTAAAGTCAAACAAAAAGCTTTTTGGGGAGAAACCATACATGTCATTGGAGGAGTCAGAATTGGACTTCATTTCAGTAACTCCAGTGTTTTGTGCAATAAATATCTCACCGTCGTAAATCTCGCCTGACATCTTGCCTGGGCCACGTCAAAAACAGAAATGAGTTGGTATTGAATGGCGTTATTCAAAAAGTGTTTGCACACCTGCATTATTAACATATCAGCATTTTAGTATACAACACCTTGTGTTACGAAACAATGCCTTTCGTTAAACAAAGCGCGGTGGGTTCTACAATCTACCTCATAAGAAGGAATTCACGTGTACATGTAATTACTATCGCAAAAAATAAATATTTCCAACTCCCCGATAAACATATTTCATACAAAACACTTACTCATGAAGACCATTGATATTTGCAGTACATTAGTAGTCTGATTTTTGTTCGAGAACGTGGTTTAAGATAGAGAACCACCTGAGCCAGAAACTTCTCGGGGTCGGTGGTTCTCTATTACATAATGTGAACCATCTGGCTGTCTATACATCAAATTACTTATATCCAATACTAGTTTGTTGTTTATCCAATTATTATCGTTATTGAACGTACGAAACAATATGTGCTCGTAGGCTGTATCACATTGGGAGTGGTATGGAGTAGTTTTTTATTACGATACCAAATACAAAAAACAAACATATAACGATTTGGTAGAATTTCACTTCAGCGTTATTCTCTCGAATTTGATACAATACTCTCTTACACTATCATAGTTAATTCTAATCGTGTTTTTTTTCCATATGTTTACTCATTGTTACTCATTACTCACTGTTACCATTCTCTTCTAAATATGATATAATCCTTGACATACAAAGTCATAATTTTTCTGTGCTCCTCTCTAAACATGTCATGCCATAGCCTGTAAAGTACGAAATGCGTGTAATAATAAGTAAGAAGTATATGGGGAGTCTTACAAACTGATGAGGTACAGCATAAACGGTACGTACCATGGCATCTCCTAAAGGCATTTCACCGATAGTATTACAGTGTTGTGCAATAGCTTCGAATACATAGATGCTCAAAGACATCGGTTAATCGTCGTCTGTGTATTCTAATGGTGTGGGAGTAGTCTTTAGTATGCGTGATAATGCATCAGTATCAGCTTTATTTTGACATCCGTGATAAAAAATAGACGAATCGAGCGTTAAGCATTAATTGTATATAGCACCAACATACGTCACTAGATTGTTTGGGGATTAGCGGACGGTCCACCGCCTACTAACAGGACAAGGACGGTAATGTGCGCAATAACCGTCTCGCCTATTATTCAAACTAATATCCCCGTCCGAGTCTTGTTAATGATCAGTGTAGAAATAATCAGATGCTCGTGTTTCACTTGCACAGTTGACCTAAAAGACTGATGGTGGGTTTGTTCTCTTTGTAGGTTCGTACATTTATTTACCTAAAGACTTGCCCTGTTATCGACTGGTGACGGGTTGCACGTGATACCGCTCAACCAATGACAATGCAGCGTTTTCATTCTGATCAGCAGCTGATGATATTTTTTTGTCAGTTACCACCTTTACCTTCATAACAACATTAAGTATTAGCTGATGCGCCGGATAATTCCTTCCACGGACACTGTGAATCATTAAACGGTAAAATACGCGTTACCATGCCTACATAAGCACATCGAAGTGAAGTGAACAACCATCAGGATCACACAGGTATGTATTATTGTGCGTGCATGCATTAAACAATTATATATATCAGTACGCATCTACAATAAAAATAAACATTTCATTCCACGTTGTGGTTTCTCGGTATTTTCTCATTGTGTCGCCTCTAAATTGTGAACAAATTGAATTACCATAATATGTTTCGCCCAACAACGTACACATTCTTTGTAAACGGGAGATAATCGATAATACTTATGGCAAGTGAAATCATGCAAAGCAGCCTTATATTAAAGTTGTTGGTTGTTTTCGGTATAATAATGCACATTTCACCTTGACAGCGATATACAGACATGTCGAGAGTCAACATTCACTGTCAGTTATAATTTTATTATAGACGTT